TCTGAAAAAAAATTTTCAAACTCTCGGTAGTTGAAACTTTTGATGTTGAAAAATATATAACACACCGCAAAAATATGTCCCCTTAATTAAATTTAAATTGCAACTATTCGAAAAGTATTTCTCATATTTTACAATAACTGGAAATTGCATAGAGATTTTTTATGTTGTGCTTTCAGAGGTAAAGCAATTTGAATATAGCTGATGAAAAAACGAGTAAATTAAGATATAATTAAACCGTGTGTATTTAAAATAAAGATAATAATGATAATAATATTAATTCCAATACCTTAAACTGTAAAGAAGGTGTTGCACTCACAGCTTGAAGAATAATCGGTTGATACTTTGCGTGCGAACGGTGGATATTATTATTAATATTTCTTATTTCCGAACTATGTGCTAACTATGCTAACTATGCTAACTAAGAAACTAGGGTCATTTGGGGTATTTGTAAACAAGGGGTAAATGTAAACACTAGATATTGCAGCTTAATTTACAGATTTAAAATTAAGTTCGACCCCAATATTTTAACCTCAGGTCACCTGCAAGAGGTTCTGAGTATTGCTAATTTTTTATTTCGACAATTGTCAAAGCTATACTCCAATTTGTCGCTTAATGCATAAAAAATTGAAAATTAAAGTTTTACTGCTTCAGTATTTTGTCTCGCATTTGGATAAAAATAAACTAAAAATTCAAACCAAAATTTATAATTATTGCTTATTAAAGCTATAACAAAAATTGACTTTGATTTTCGACCTTTGTCAATTCAGTTAGTAAATAATTAACTGTTTACATTTATCCCGAGAATTGGAAAACTCGGGGTAAATGTAAACAGCAGTTTTAGACCATGTATTTTATAATATATCGAAGCAATATAGTTGTTTCTTTCTCATCTAGTAGACTTTTAAAATTTTCCTTGACGGACCGAATAAATAAAATGACGTATATGAATTTTTATCAAAGTTGCTCAAAACGCTTAATTTGTTTTAAATTAAAATTATTCAATTATTATTTATCCACTAGGCATTTTTTTCAAGTTTTTCCATCCCCTAATACAGTAGTAAACTTAAAATAACTTTTTTCTTAAACATTTCGGAGAAATAAAGGTGTTTACATTTACCCCGAGATTTTGCATTTTTTGCATAATTTCCGGCTAAATGTAAACAGCAGTTGTTAGCGATTCAAGGTTACCTGTATTTTTTAATACCCCATAAAATTGTTCTATGGAACTAAAGTAATAAGTTTATGCAATAGAAAACCGGAAGTATTGCTTTAAAAAAAAAAAACTTATGTTATTGTCGAAATTAAGCAAATCCGTTTACATTTACCCCAATTGACCCTATGTGCTCCAATTAAAACAATAAAAAGTGTAAAAAGTATACAATTCTTTTAATTTTTATGGTTAAAAAAATTGAAATGAAAATAGATGCATTGTTATTATTTTCAATAGTCTCTTTGTTTGTTTTTTATTGTGAAATATACATTCTTGACAAAATATAATTTACGAAAAATGGTGTACTCAAAAAAATATAGTTTCTAAATATACATTTAAATTACATTTAGATAAACAAATAAAATGTGCACGCGATTAAATTTTTTTAAATTTATGTCATTAAATCGTACGGTTCCGTAAATTCCTGAATATGTCTTGGATGTTAATTGTACTACACACAAACAAACTTATGTATTTTAATGCACTGATTATAATACTATAAAATTTTATTTTTATTTTTAAAAACATAAAAAATGCCGTAAATTAATTATTTTTTACATGTATTTATCTCATAAAATATTCATAAGTTTTAAAAACATTTTAAGCCCGGTAAGAAGACATAAATTAAATGTATATAATTTAAAATTTTAATACAATCGAATTCCTGATTTTAAATCTGAGTTCTCTTCCACTGACAAATATTTTCAAAAATCTAGTTCTATTCATTTCAATTTGTCCCTAAAAGTAAACGAAAACTGAATTGAAAGAAATTAAATTTTTGTAAATATTTAAGAGAGGAAAAAAATATAATAAAAATGAATATTTTTAAAAATTTTTTTGGCGATATAGAGAGTTATTTTATTTAATTAATTTTTATATAATAGTCCAATATTTGAACAATAATTTTCCAAATCTTTATTACAAAATATTAAATATTTGGGGTGTTAATGTAAATCTCTTCAAGTGCCACCAAAAAAGATGTTTTGTGATGTCCACTGTACATCGCAAAGGAATCATCCAAATCTAAAAATCAAATTGCATTTGTTAAAGGAGGTGTTTTTCGAGGTAGCCCTGGAAGCATTTTTTTATCTTTTTTAATTTTTCTCAGTACTTAGAAGCAAAAAAAAAGGTTTTCTGGCTCGGGAAAATATTGAAAATTTGAAAAATAAACTAATTAGAGATGGTTATTCAATAAAAAACAAATTTTCAATGTTTTTCTTTTCACGTAAATTCTCTTAACTGGATCAATTTTTCTCCGATTATCTTGAAATTTTGACACAATATTCTTGAGATATTGTGCAATTATGAAAAAAATAAAAAAACAGCGCAAAAATTCTTTTTAATACCTTACCCCCCTTAAGCATTGTATAAATTTTGTAAATGTTTGTAACGCGAAAAAGAAGAAATTTTTAAGCGTTTCTTGAAATTTATTACGCAGAGAATACCCCACAGCACCGAATCTTCCCTGAAAATTTCCTAAAGATTTACTTGAAATTTTCGAAATATTTGATTGCAATGTTTATAAAACTTGTGTAAAGATTTAAATGTCCCACTTAAATAAATGTTTAGCGCAAAACTTTCCTGAACATTTCAATTACATTTTAGCCCAAGTCATTATAGCAAAGATGTAATGGAAATGTTCAGGAAAGTTTCACGCTAAACATTTATTAAGTGGGATATTTAAATCTTTACCCAACTTTCAATAAACATTGCAAATAAATATTTCAAAAATTTCAAGTAAATCTTTAGGAAATTTTCGGGAAAGATTCGGTGCTGTAGGGGTAATATACATACCTGTGACTATTGGAGATTTAAAATTGCTATCCGACACATAGTGACCATGAAGACAAGGCATCACATAAGAAGTAATTTTTTTTAAATATTTGTATATGTACCTATTTCTTGTATTTTTCGTGTGAAACAATAGCGCCACCATGCCCGCGGTGGTAATTTTCATTCCCAATTTCCCAACTAAAAAACTTAAAACCACTATCTGAAAATGCATAAATTTTTAAAATGCGATATTTAAAGATATTAAAAGTTTCAAAGGTGTATTATGACATAAGCAATCATAAATTTTGAATTAACATCTTTATTGGAAGAATTGAACGGAATTTAAAGGGGAGTGACACCTTTTAAGGTCTCTTTTGAACCTGTTTTTTATGAATTTTTTTTAGACACAAGAATAAAGTCAACAAAATTTGTTGCCTTTAGAGGGCGCCAAAGTTGGTCTCGTTGCCTTGCAGAGCAAATCGGGCAAGATTCTGGATAAACCATTTACTCTAAAACAAAAATTCAAAGTTTTTCTGAAACTATGATAGATTTAGCTTTAGAGTACGTAGGATATTTTTAAAATATTCATTTTTGTGGATTTGTCAGTTGAAGAAAAAAGTCGATTTTTAGGGCGAAATTTTTCCAAAAAATCTATTGCCAAAAAAAACAAACAAACCAAAAAAAATCTGCTGAGTACTCTAAAGCATTAGTAAATGACGATCAAAAAAAACTTTGACCGAAGTCAATTCGATCAAAACTGTCCTAACTAGGCTGCCCACCGTTTTGAAAAAGGTCATTTCGAGAAATACGCGTTTAAAGTTTTGGAAAGTATAAATTCGTTTCGAATTTCTTCTTCATAAGTCAATTAAATAGCATTTAAAACGTTGGGTGCTTTCCTTATTTGATTTGGACATACTCAAGTTTGAAACTGCGGCCACTAAGTGAACTAAAAAAATGCATTTTTCAATCTAAACCTTTTTACCGGGAGACCTAAGCAGAATATATTAATTAGATTCATCTCATATAGGATTTCCAATGTCATCTACGTTCATAACTTTTAGTGCCACTACATATTAAATTAAATACACTCGATTAAAAACCACATCATATAAACAATTCATTGTACAGTAAAACTTTGAAAAAAGGAAAGTTAAGAAATCATGATATTTCATAATCATAAAACAATTTTTATTTTGAGACTTAGTAATTATATTTTAGAAAAATGGCGATGAAGCGTAAAAGGGGTTACAAATTATGGTTGGAGTACGATGATGACAGTATACCTAATTCCAGTATCCAGAATTACCGACGTCAATTTCGAAAAATAGTAAGACTTTCAAAAATATTACTTTAAAAAAATGTTTTGTAAATTTTTACTTGCCCTGGTTTATAAAAAAAACTTCTTTCATAAGACATAAAAAAACCGCTGCCAAGTGTTACTACCTTTTTGTAATCATTTCGTGAATACAATGTTTCCTCATAGAGATGGATTAACATTTTAAATGCTAAATAAGAATTTCCAAAAAAAATTCAAGAAAGAAATTTTTTCAAAATTTTTTATTCTTAAAATGTTAATAACTGTGGATTAGAAACCTTAAAATATTCGTCAATAGGTCAATCGATGCGTTTTTAAGTACTTCATAAGAAAATATTGATATAAAAAGGTTAAATAAAATTTTTCATAGAAAAAAATTCAATTTTTTCTATTTTCAAAATTTTTTATTTTTAAAATATTAATAACCTTAAATAGAAGAACCCTAAATGTTCACTGATAGGTAAAACAATGTGTAATGTCGTGAAATAAATAACGATATATATATATTCAAATATGAATTTAATAGTAAGTAATTAAATGAGAAGTTACAAGTAAGGCTGGTTAGAGAATACTGAAAAACATATAGGTTAATACACACACAAGCGTACTCTATGTTTAGGAAATGGAATTACAAATATATTTTCGTTCAACATACTACATTCCTCCATCCCTGATTTGAAAATATCCCATATTTTAGAAAAATCATAAATTCAATCGATTAACAGGTTTAATAAATCTCTTTGGTCGACTGTTAATCAATGGCGAAGAAACTTTATTTTTAAAGTTCACTGAACGTCTTTCATTCACACTGACCGGCGAATAAAGTTTTTGTTTTTCATTCGATGTCAAAAGTCCATCACTCGCGGTTTTACCATTCAAAGAATTAAAGTCCTTGTTTTCACTCGATGAAACAATTTCACTTGGTAAAGGCTCGAGTAAAGAATCACTCGAAATTTCCGCACTATCACGCTGAGTTTCCACAGGAACCTGCAAAATGGATTTTCTAGACTCCCGAGTACCAGAACTAATAATCTGATCGGTGTGTCTCTTGACCTTGAAATCTGGGTCTGAAGGATCAGGGTTGCAAATATATGTCCTTTCTCCTAAAACCCTCTGAATAACAGCTGGAGACCAAGTAGGCTTTAATGGATTCTTATAATTTCGAATAAGAACCTTTTCTCCCTCGGAAAATGAAACATCTCGGTGTCCCTTGAAAAATTGAACTTGTTTCTCCGATGAAGATTCCGTTTTTCTAGCTCTTAACAAATCGAGCCGATTTCGGAGTTCTCTGCCTAGAAATCTTTTCGCTGGCGATTCCCCAGTAGAACAATGAGGTGCATTTCGATAATAAAAAAGGTATCTCGAAATACAGGTGTGTAAATCCATCGCTGAAACATCCTTTTCGAAAATAGCCTTCGAAATTCCCCTCTTGAAACTTCCGACTGCATTCTCTGCTAAACCATTGGTCGAAGGATGATAAGGAGCTGAAGTTCTGTGAATAATACCATTAATTTTGCAAAAAGTTTGAAATTCTTCCGAAGTGAACTGTTTTCCATTATCAGAAAAAATAACCTTCGGAATACCAAACCTGGCAAAAATTTCACGCAATTTCGAAATCGTAGATTTAGAATCAATTCGACTCATCTCCATAACCTCAGGCCAACGAGAGTAGGCATCAATAGTCAACAAATACATTTTACCATGAAATGGACCCAGGAAATCGATGTGAATCCGATCGAAAGGTTTGTTGACTTCGTTGAATTTAATCAATCCGGCCTTCTCCGGGTTTTTCGCAGTTGATTGGCAAGCTTGACAACTCTTACCAAAAGTCTCGATGTCCAGATCCAGTCCTGGCCACCAGAAGTACTGTCGAGCGAGAGCCTTCATCTTGACAATTCCAATATGTCCACCATGAATCTCTTCCAGCAAAGACGATCTAAAAACTTGAGGAATGATTAAACGATATCCCCACATAAGTAAACCAGAATCTATACTTATTTCATCTTTTCTTGTTAAAAAAGGTTTGAATTCAGGATCAACGTGAGTCGGCCATCCATCTCTAACGTATAAAAAAACCTTGCTTAAAACTGGATCCTTTCTCAATTCACGTCTCAAATCATCGGATTTGATTGGAATGTTTTCCTCGACAATAAAATTAAAATAGTCCATGGATTCATCTACTCCAGAAGACACCTGCCTCGGGAGTCTCGAAAGTCCATCCGCCGCTCCGTTGTCGATTCCTTTAATGTATTCCAAGGTATAATCGAATGAAGATAAAAAAACAGCCCAACGTTGCAGTCTACCAGCTGCCATTTTTGGAATGCCATTTTTCTCCCCAAATAACGCCAACAATGGTTTGTGATCTGAACATAACATAAATTTGTTTCCAACCAAAAATTGATAAAATTTACATACAGACCAGTAAATAGCGAGCGCTTCCTTGTGAATCACGGAATAATTTTTCTCGGAACATCGTAGAATTCTTGAAGCAAAAGCGATGGGTCTTTCATCCCCGTTTGGAAAAACATGAAGAAGTGCAGCACCTATTCCATCTTTAGATGCATCGGCAACCAATTTGAGTTTTTTGGCAGGATCATAATGCACTAAGCATCTATCCGAAGCAATCTCCTCCTTAATTTCGTTGAAAGCAGCCTCCTCCCTGGTAGTCCATGTCCAATTTTGTCTCGTAGTAGCATCGTACAATGGCTTCAGCATTTGCCCCAAATGCGGAACGAATTTCCCGTAATAATTGACCATACCCAAAAATGATTTTAACTCGGTGACGTTTTCCGGTTTCTTGACAGCACGAATAGCCTCTACCATTTCCGGGTTCTTGTGAAGACCTTGGCCATTTATGATGTGACCCAAATAATGAATTTCGTCCTGAAAAAAACTACATTTTTTTAAATTTAATTTAAAACCAGCATCAGACAACTTTTTCAAAACAAGCCTCAAATTTTGTAAATGTTCATCTTTGGTTTTGCCTGTAACAACAATATCATCACAAAAAATAGCAACACAAGGAATACCCTGTAAAGTTTTTTTAATTATTTTTTGAAAAATAGCAACACAAGTTTTTGGACCGAATGGCATTCTGTTCACCTTGAACAAACCCAAATGAGTACTCCAAGTCAAAAGTTTTGCAGTTTCCTCTGTAACCTCAAGTTGATTAAACGCGTTGGTAAAGTCCAATTTTGTGAATTTAACACCACCCGACACACAAGCGAACAACTCTTCGATCCTTGGTGTAGGATGTTTAACGTCCTCGAGACACTTGTTGATCGTAACCTTGTAGTCGGCACAAACACGAATTTTACCATCTTTTTTTAAAACTGGCACTAATGGTGTCCCTCACTCCGCGTCATCAACTGCCTTAATGAAACCTTGACTCTCGAGATCCCGTATCCTTTGAGTCATTTCGTCCTTGAAAGCAAATGGCACAGGCCTCGGCTTGCAGAAGATTGGCTTGGTCCCATCGACAACATTCATATCCACTTTACTGTATTTATATTTACCGGTTGTCCCGTCAAAAAGTGATTTAAATTCTTGGAGCACATCTTGCAATTTAAAATCATCACTAATCGAATTTACTTGTGTAATTTCGTACCCCAAAACACTCATTAAATCCCTTCCCAATAACATTCGACAGCCACGTCTGACGACTAAAAGTTTAACCACGTTTCTGCTGTCATCTTTTGACAACATAACCTCAACTTGTCCTAGCGGTTTGACAATAGTACCGTCGTACAAACGCAACGTCGTTTCCACTTTTTCTAATTTAAATTTGGAAAGTTTCTCGCGATAAAGAGATTCGGGAATCACTGATCTGCTCGCACCAGTGTCAATTTCAGCTTTCACAGCTACATCACCGATAAACATGTCCACCAAAAAAGGTTGCTTATAGTCATTTACCGAAAAAATTTCATCACAGTCAATGGCAGAACACGACACTTCATCTTCCGTAAGATGATTTTGAGATTCTTGTTTATCTTTGGACTTGCAAATTTTTGCTAAGTGTCCAATTTTTTTACACGAATTGCACTTAAACTTTTTATATTTACAATGCTTAAAATCATGATTTGAACCACCACAATGATTGCACGTAACGAACTTTGTTTTTTCTTGTTTATCCTCCGAACTTTTAGAACTGAACTTATTCTTTTGATTTTTATTTGCTTTTAAATTAACACTATACACGGGCACTTCTCGTTTGGAATTTAACAGAGCTGCTTCACGATTCCTGGCAATTTCCAAGATTTCAGTCAGCTGTTTTGTGTGTTCTTCCTCACACACACGATCGAGAATGACACCCTTTTTGAGACCAGTCACGAATTTGTCCTTGATCATATCATTCAAAAGTCCACCAAATTCACAAGTTGCAGCCTTGTTTTTGATCCTAATGAACCACTCGTTGATTGATTCCTGATCATTTTGTCGAAGTTCATAAAACTCGGTTCGCTCGCGAAAAATTGAAACACGCTTCGAAAATTGTCCCTTTAAAATCACGCAAAGTTCCTTATAGGTCTTGCTCGATGGTAAAGCAGGGTCACATAAATCCTTTAGAGATTTATAAGCGTCTTGTCCTATTAATGTAACTAACACTGCCACCTTACGTTCAGGTTGAGTGACACTGTTTGCGATGAAATACTGAGTAAGTCTATCTTGATAGATATCCCAATCTTCTCCAATTTTAAATTCACTCATGGCGCCAATTGTCGAAACAAAAGTCACGTTAGGTTGGATAGGCGGTGGTATAAACGATGGTTCTGCGCCATTTTGATTCCCTGAAGCATTTTGTCTCATGTTACTATTAACAATCAATTCCAGCTCACCGACTCTATTTTTACTAGAATCTCTCTCTTTCCTCAGCCTGTCGATATGACTTTGGAGTTCTGCCTGCCTTTGAGTAGCCTCGGCAAGTTTAGTTTTGTACTCCTCTTCCATCATTTTGAAAACTCGTCACGACGATATGAAACGAAAAAAAAAGCACGTGTATAATCGCACCGATTTTTAGTCAATAACTGCACAAACAGCACAATCTGCACAAACAGCAAGTTCTTTTAAATCGATAAACAATAAAAAAACATCCTCGTCGCCAAAAATGTAATGTCGTGAAATAAATAACGATATATATATATTCAAATATGAATTTAATAGTAAGTAATTAAATGAGAAGTTACAAGTAAGGCTGGTTAGAGAATACTGAAAAACATATAGGTTAATACACACACAAGCGTACTCTATGTTTAGGAAATGGAATTACAAATATATTTTCGTTCAACATACTACACAATGCGACTTGGAAAACTACGGAATTAAAGAAAAACATCTGTAGCACGGGTCGTTTGAACTATGTTTAACCTAAAGATTCTGCTACTTCAGATTTTCTTGTTGGAAATTTTACTTTGAGGTGTAAATATAAAGGAAAAGGTTTTTTAAAATCTTTTATCGAGATATTCAATTATAAGAGCCAAAATTTGAAAAATTGATTGCTTTTTTCACTCGTACCTCTTTTTTGTCCATATAAGCTTATTTATTTAAATTCTAGCATATACACACTCTCTGTAACACATAGACGCAGAATAGAAACGCAGTAAAATTTGTTTATTATATCTTAAGAAAAGTAAACTAATGTTTAAAGTAGAGAGTACATTAAAATTATATTTAGAGAAACTACTACAGTGTGATATTGATAATGTTTTAAGTGATGAAACGTTACCCACTGATCTCTGTGCTACCTGCAAAATAAATGTATATCGCGGTGTATCAAATAATAATTCAGAAACCGTGATATATATTTGCACGATTTTGTACAAATATAGTCATCAGTTTATTAGCATATTTATATGAAAATATGTCTGTTTCTGTGTGTTGGAGAGTGTGTATATGTTAGAATTTAAATAAATAAGCTTATATGGATATTAAAGAGGTACGAGTGAAAAAAACAATCGATTTTTTAATTCTTGGCTCTTATAATTGAATAGCTTGATAAAAGATTTTAAAAATCCCTTTCCCTTCATATTTACACCTTAAAGAACAATTTCCAACAAGAAAATCTACAGCAGCGGAATCTTTAGGTTAAACATAGTTCATACGACCCGTGGTAGGTGTCAATACATTTTTTAAAGTAAGCGCTAAAAAACTTTTTTTTAAAAAATATTTTAAAACAAAAAAAATTAGAAAAACTGAGTGGATGCACTTTCAACATTAATTTTTAATTAAAAACAACTCAATTTAAATAAATAATTGGATAAATAAAGCCTTGATTTGACCATTTAATTATGTCTATTGGTTTAAAGCTCGCCGAAGGGTGCAGTCACATGGAGCAGATTAGCAGATGAGCAGAAAAAGTTTCAGCCAATCAACAATTAATCTGGCGGAAAATGAATTACCGTGAAATACTGTTGTTTTTATTGGTAAACGTCTAATATGCTCCATGTATCTGCACCCTTAGTTTTCCGTTTTTTTCTAACATGTATATTCAACTTAATGAGCATCATTTTTCTGTAAAAGTAAACAATACATTGTCGCGGTGAAAATATCTTTTCACTTCAAAATGAGTTTCAGATTTAAATCTCACACTGCTTCTCATGACAAACATCGGAAGAAAACAGTCCCTCACGATAATTCATTTTCCATTAGACTAATTATTGAGCATATTCAATAGAAGTCATACTAATTAAATAGAGAGTTCTTATTGAATGATAAAGTTTATTGCTATTTTCTCAGCTTTTCTTGTCATTTAATATATAATTTAAATTATTAACAATATTAGAACGCTACTGCTCAAAGAAGTTAAATGTTATATCGTCTTCGTACTTAAAAACTTTTAAAAATCAATTTTCTACAAAACGGCTAGTCACCGCAGATTTTAAATCCTATGTCGTCTTACTCGTAAGTCGTAGAACCCCTCCAGAAACAAAATGTGTTAAAAACTTCGGGTGGTACGAAACAAAATTTAAATTTTTTCAAACCTACCGTGCATCTTGACCATTTTAATTTTGGAAAGAAATTAATATAAGGAATGTTTTACGCCTGAGATCATTAAAATCCACTAATATGAATTTTGGGCAGAGATTTGTTTTATTTGACAAATAAGGTCCCATATCTAGAGGAACTTTGGGTTATGGGAGCCTCTGAATATTAAGCAATTATACATGTTTTATTTTTTCCTGAACAACTCGAAAGACTGTCAATTTTCGTTGATATTACCCGAAAAAAATTATCACATTTCCAACAGATTTGTAGAAACAATAAACAAAAATTTCTTTTTGCTGATTTCGTTATACAATGAACTATTCCCTGTAAAAAATGTTCGGTTGAGCCAACCGGGAAAACAAATTGAGCCAAACGATGTTCAATCTGTTTTTTGGAAAATAACAGATTGAACCATTTGGTCCAATCTGTTTCATACAGAGCGTCGAATCTGTTCATTTAAAAAATGCGTGTAAATTGAAGAAATGATGAACTTTTATCCTCGATAATTCATAATTTCTTCAATTTACACGCATTTTTTCAATGAACAGATTGGACGCTCTGTACGAAACAGATTGAACATAGTTAGGCTCAATCTGTTTTCTCGGTTGGCTCAATCAAACATTTTTTATAGGGTTTTGTTTAGACATTAAAATAAGTAGTTAAAAGAGTTAAAATTATTTGGGCTTTTTGATTGATTATAATACAGCTAGATGTACCTAGTTTGAGATAATAATTGGAAAAAATTCGATAAGTATTTTTATTCATTTTTTTGTTTTTTTATTCAAATTGTGTCCTGTGAAAATGTTTTGGGGTAATTATAATTAAAATAACAGTTTAAAGATTCT